TCGCTGGGAAAAACGCAAGCGGGCACCATGGGAGACAGAGCGCCTTAGGAGGGGCGTATGGAGCGTCGATTTCAGCTGCAGCAGACTCGACATGGAGGCCGAGCTGCAGCGGATGATGGGTGACAAGGCACTGAAGTTTCGAGGGGTGCAGGCGGCAGCGATACGGGCCATCCAGGACGGTGAAAGTCCCGTGGTGGCCATCATGCCAACCGGAGGGGGGAAGAGCATGATGTTCATGTTGCCCGCGTGGGTTGCACCCGGGGGAACAACGGTGGTGGTGGTTCCACTGGTGGCGCTGCGAGGGGACATGCAGCGGAGGTGCGAGGAGCTGGGGATATCATGTGTGGAGTGGGAGAGCCGAAGACCGCCCGATGAAGCATCGATGGTGCTGGTGACACCCGAGTCCGCATTGAGCGAGGACTTCATCACATTTTTGAACCGACAGCGGCTGAACCACCGACTGGACCGGATCGTCATCGATGAATGCCACACGGTGCTCAACGACCAGGTCAACTTCCGGCCCCAGATGCAACAGCTCGGCAAGCTGATGGCGGCCAAGACACAGATGGTGCTGCTGACGGCCACACTGCCACCCGGTGAGGAGGAGAAGCTGTGGTCCCGCATGCACTGCACCCGAGCGGACATATCATTGTTCCGGGCGCGGACATGCCGTCCAAATGTGGCATACCGAGTGTGGCAACCCATCATTGAAGGGTCAGAGTACGGTGGGCTCAACCGATGGTTTCAAGCACCCAGCGTGGTCAGGTTCATCCAGGACCGCATGAGACGGACGGGAGAAGGCAAGGGGGTGGTGTACTGCCAGACGGTGAATCAGGTCACGACGATGGCAAGCGCATTGGGGTGCGAGGCATATCACCACCACCAGATCGACAAGGCCGGCATACTGGAGCGTTTCCGACAAGGTCAATACCAGGTCATCGTGGCGACAAGTGCACTGGGCATGGGAATCGACATCCCCAACATCCGCAGCATCATCCACGTCGGACGGCCGCGATCATTGCTGGATTATGGACAGGAGAGCGGGCGTGCAGGGCGTGATGGACAGGCCAGTGAAGCCATCATCATTGAGCCCGAGGGTATCAGTGCAGCAATGATATGGTCAAGAAAGGATGCACCATCACTGCTGGACCAGAAGCTGGTTGATCGGTACATGCAGGCAGGGGGTGAGGAGGGTGATGAACCGATGGCTCGATGTCGACGGGTGGTGCTGGACCGGTACCTGGACGGGGAAGTGGAGGGTTACATGAGACGGCACTGCGGTGATCGACACACAGGGGAGTCCCAGTGTGACGGGTGCGATGCCGAGTGGGAGGCCAGGGAGGCCGTGTTCACCCCCAGCCCAGGTGGCACGCCCACGCCCACACCCAGTCCAGGCTACAGTTCAAGAGCAACAGCCAAGGATGACTCCAGCGAGGATGAAACCAGCCAGGAGTCAGAGATGGAGAGCCAGCAGGGTGAAACCCACATCAGATTCAACAGCACATGCAGTCCCAGAATGGCCAGAAGTGTGAGCAAGAGCCCAGACGACAACATAAATGAAAGCAGCACCAAGAATGAAGCTTCAACTTCAGGCGGGAGCAGCCCGGGTCAATGGAACAAGCAAGAGTCAAGTGAAATCAGTGAAGACACCAGGGGCATCCCATCAACAACCAGACAGACATTCCACAAGCAGGATGTCCGTCGGGGCCGGTTCATCATCACACACCAGCAGCGAGGGCAGAGGGCATTGATGGATGAGGAGGTTTTAGTGGAAGAGGCGCAGAGGTGGAAGGATCAGTGTTTGATATGTGCAAGTGGCAAGCGGGAGTTTGACCATGAGCTGTACCAGTGTCCCCACGAGGAGAGCCAGGAGGCAAAGAGATGGATGATGACAGTGCGGAGCAAGATCAAATACACACGGTATTCCGGGTGCTTCCGATGCGGGATGCCGCAGTCCATATGCAACAGCCGGAAGACACAGAGGCAGTGTCCGTACAGGGGATTTTTGATCCCGACAGTGGCAATGATGATGTATGGGTGTCACAGCAGCTGAGAGAGTTCAATGTGAATGCAGATGATCAGGAGGCGGTGATTGAATTTTTGAGACAGAAGGTTGAGGGACAGGGCATCGAGCACAACCAGCTGGTGGAGATGTTTTGTTGGCTGCGAGGGATATATCAGGAGGCAGAGAGGGGGAAGATGGAGTCAGAGGGTACAGGGGTCAAGTGATATCACGGGTGAGGGGCACCACAGGGGGATGAAAGACGTATATATATATAAAGGCAGGTGAAGCAAGAGACAGAGGGTAAAGGGATATAACATCGAGAGAAAGTAGATCAGTTAGGGTGATCAGTTTCAAACAGTATCATCCCATATGATAATGGGTCAGGGTCAGGGTTACAATGAGTGAGGGTAGAGGCTGGGGGGGAGGATGAGGTGGTCAGAGTCAGGGTTAGGGTTGACAAAGAGTGAGGCTAGAGACAGGGGTGGGCAGTGAGGTCAGGATAGGCGGTTAAATTAGACGCAAACCCGTTAACCCATTGAAAGTCAAACCCGTTGGACCCAAACCCGTTGGACGTCGAAGCCGTTGGACGTCAAACCCGTCCCAGGAGGGAATTAACCCGTTGGGAGTTGAACACGCCGGACCCAACCCGTTGGACGTCAAACCCGTTGGACGTCAAACCCGTCCCAGGAGCGCATTAACCCGTTGGAAGTCGAACACGCTGGACCCAACCCGTTGGACGTCGAACCCGTTGGACGTCGAACCCGTCCCAGGAGCGCATTAACCCGTTGGAAGTCGAACACGCTGGACCCAAACCCGTTGGATGTCGAACCCGTCCAAGGAGCGCATTAACCCATTGGACCCGAACCCGTTGGATGAACCCATCAACCCGTTGGACGTCGAACCGGTTGGATGAGGAAGTCGAACACGCTGGACCCAAACCCGTTGGACGTCAAACCCGTTGGACGTCAAACACGCTGGACCCAAACCCGTTGGACGTCAAACCCGTTGGACGTCAAACACGCTGGACCCAAACCCGTTGGACGTCGAACCCGTCCAAGGAGCGCATTAACCCATTGGACCCGAACCGGTTGGATGAACCCATCAACCCGTTGGACGTCGAACACGCTGGACGATTATATCAGAAGGTAGAGGGGGGGAAGATCGAGTCAGGGGCATAGAGGTCAAATGACATCACAGGTGAGAGGCAGATGTTGACGAGCACCACATAGAGATAAAAGATATATGCATATATAAAGATCGATGAAGCAAGAGGAAAAGGAGCAAAAAGAAAGAGGGTAAAGAGATATAATATA